ATAATCTATAAACTCTATACATGAATAATTACAAGGCTACAAAAACCAAACACATTTTATTTTATAGCGATTATACACTACAAATATATTCATGGGTAGTATATTCAGATTTTGCCAACGAACCTTGCCAAATAATACACACTGGACCTTTAATGCACTACAAACCAGCATAGTCACTATATAGTGAGTAGTAGTGCTGCACAATTTGACAAAAATGTGCGAATATTGCAATATGCGATTACAATAGTGTATATGATTGTCGTCATGAGTCTTCTTGCTTGGCTTTCAAGGACAACAGAGAGAATAACAATAGATTTGAAGAGTGTAGTTCTCAACTTAAAACATACACATTCTTAGTAACATAACACAAAAAAAGAAACAAAACCACAGTTGGTTCGGAAACGTTGTACACGTTACCAGATTCCACACACTACAGAATAATCCCGGTCACAGGTACACACACGTATCATGCACATTTATTTACATCAAACCTTTCGTGCGATTACATATTTGCACAGCATGATATTGCAGTTGTGATTGCAATTTGATTAATCGTGCAGCACTAGTGAGAAGTGAGTGATTTGGGACACAGCCACAGTCTCTGTGTGCTGAATGTATAGGCAAATGTTTTCTGATTAGTGTTAGTGACACTAATAACAACTTTACCAGATGACATCATTATTATCATCACTGCCCTGCTTCTTGTGAAACCACCTGGTCATCCAAATATATAAATTAAATCAAATACAATATAAATTTAGTTATTAGCTCATCAAATCTAGAATATGAGCACACTTTGCTTCAAATTTCACTTTAAACGCATCAGTGTTTTACTAAAGTAAAGTTGATAAGGATATTTGGACTTTATTAAAATTAACCTGTAGTAAGTCACATGTTGGTGCCAATTAAAAGAGCAGTCCTACCACACACCACACCAGCCCACCTGCTATTACATACACATCCCAGTGTTTCCCTCCTCAGATTACAGACATTTCCCACACACCCTAAAACTCAGGCTTTCTTTCTTATTATGGAAAACAAAATACCTCATGGTCTCTCCATTTCAGTGACACTGGCTCACTGCCTGGAAAACTGAGAATAATTTGTTAAATTCCCCTGGAAAATGCCTTGTTGTTTTTTTCTCTCTCAGGTCAATTGGAAAATAACAGTGTAGTAAACTCTGATTTTCGCCCTTCACCTGGACTTTAACATCAGCTGTTCTGTGGTTCCTACTTTACTGACTTTTAGGGAAGTTCAAACCAGGGGCAGAATCTGACTTTTATTGTTGCTACACAACAGGAAACACAAGGGCAAAGCAGGATGCTCAATGAGAAAACAGTAGAAAGGCAGTAAACTATCAGCAATGATATTTTAGGGTATGCAAAAAATATAACATATGTCTCGTCTTGCTGACAAACATGACAAAGTTCGTCATCCCACTGACGTCACACAGACTCATATTTTTAGCTGTCAGGATTAATCAGTTTCCACTACTGAGCAACAGCAACAACAAATACCTAGTGTCTTTCACACAGATTCAAAGTGAGTAACAAATCCATCAGGTTAACAGCTTCACACCAACTGTCATGAATGAGGTGAGTCACTGGACACAACTGTCACCCACTCAGAGTGTGTGTGGAGGAGGATGGAGCCTCACGGCTCCACAGTTTCAACAGACTGGATTATTGGTCAGGACTGACGCTCAGCTGTCCCCACAGGCCTGATGACTCACTGCCTCCTGACTGTGACAGGATGTGTGTGTGTGGACTGCAGGTATGTGTGAAAAAGAGTTTTTGTTAAGTCTCCTGTGTGTAAGGTGAACTTAACCTCTGGTCTGGTTGAGTGTCCAGAGTACTGAACCTGAGAGGCCTCATTCTTTTTACAAATTCTTTACATAATTCAATACAGGACAAGAGCTCTGACCACCAGGGTTTGGTTGACTCAGTCACTGGTGAGACAAAAGTAACACACATTCCAGGTCATATCACAACGCAAAATATGAGACGGAGCAGTTATCAGTGCACCAACCAAATTCCTGTAAACATTAGAAATTGTGATGCAATTGCCCTCAGCAGCCTGGTCTCAGCTCACAGAGGTAGACTGGCTGTTTCAGAGAACTTTAGATGGTTCCTTGATCCCACTTCCCTGGTTTCTTACTATGTGTTTTACTAATTGTAGTTTCACTCAGGTATTCTCTAATCTGATCTTTTAACTTTGTCTTGAGTCAGTTTCAACACGCACATGTCCCCTCTGGTTCCTCTCTTACTCAGCTGAAGGCCCCACATTCACCCAGGGCACCTTCGCTGCTCTGGTTTTGTTCTTGATAGTGTTGACCTCTGCACATTATGGTCTTCATGGAGTCCTTCAGATATGTCAGACAGGTTTTAAACAGAGTTGGTGTCACTAGTCTAATGATTGTTAACAGCTCTGTGTCCACTAGCAGTTCCCTCTCACGGTCCTGGACTGAAGAAACTAAATCACAACCCTGCAGATTTCAAAAGAATTCTAAATGAGCCTTTTGATCAAACTGGTACTGGAGTTCAGTTAAATCCAGCACTGAAACTGCATTTCTAAAAGGACAATGCCTCAGCAGCACTCTGCTACATTAGGAGCTCCACCGCTAAAATTTCACACCAGTGAGCTGCTAATAATTTCCACTCTTGCAGTGTGAGTGTGACAACACCTGACTTCATCTTGGAATTGATCTGAGTCATGGACTAGTGAATCAAATCCTCCCAGACTTCCCCCTCATTCCTCCAAAGACTCTATCTATCTATCTATCTATCTATCTATCTATCTATCTATCTATCTATCTATCTATCATAGTCATGAGTTTTGCCTTCTCTGTAGTACCTCTGCTCTCATTTGTGGTGTTGTTCCATCCTTACCCCTCACTGTTCTGTCTATGTTCCCACTCGGACACAAATAAACACATAACCCAGCATGTTGACAGAGACCTTATGTTCCATAAAAAACTGTGTAGTGTATTGTACTGTATATATTCCTGTGAAGTGCAGCCCTATAGCAGAACAGCAGAATCTGGGACCTGATAAAAAGACTAGTTCTTTACCTTCTCTCATCTAGTTATAACACACATCAAGCTTTCATTTAGTCAGAGTACAAAATGCCATTTATCATAAATCACAGCAAGATTTTATGAATCTATGATTACCTGACATGACACAGTCAAAAATATAAAAGAGCCTGATCTCAAAATAGGATTAGCTTTTGATCAGCTTAAACTTCTCTCAAACCAGTTCTCCATTAAAAAATAAGAGCACTGTGTCAATGTATGTGTAGCCTACATGTGGGTGTCGTAAAGAGAAACCAAACACATTCCAGCTGTGAACATCAGGTACGGGCATTCTGGTATACATGCAAGCAGAAACCAGCAAACACAGTCACCAACACAGAGCCTTCGTCATGATGAGACAGAGAGTTTCTACTGAAACAGTAACGACGTATGTCCACCTCTACCTCACCGTTATGTCAGGGGAACATAGAAACAGAGGTGTGTGACACACTGGGGAAGTGCCTGTTTCCTATTATTCACTCATAAATATCTCCACCCTCAATTTCTGGGGCAACACTGTCATATCTGTTCACCATGGGTTAAGCAGGAAGGTCACACATTATTGCTGACACTACTGTCTGAGTGAAAACAGATACACCTGCCCAATAATCACCGTATATTTGTCAGCAATGTTTGATTTTTTTTCCAATTACATAATGAACAGATGGGTGGATATTTGTTTTTTTATGTGCCATTGAAACTGTGAAGTAGCAGCTAAGCTGTACTGAGGTGTTTAAATGGCAGTGGTGAGGTGGAACTCTGTTGAGGGCAACTTTTGTGCCCGTCAGGATGACTATATTGTTATGACAAATAAAAGCTGCCTACATTCATATTGGTTACGCTTAAAAACAGAGCTACTGGACTTATGATACCGGTTCCACCAGCTGTCACTGAGTTGTTTGTCCTGTCCCATCCCAGTCACAGGATAAGTAGTCAAACTGACGGAAATAAATATCATTCCAAAACTTGAAATCAAGCCAGTGTTGAAGATCCACAAGGAAAAGGCATGGGTTCTACGAAACGTCTGTCCCTCAAGTCCAGCTTGTTAAGTCCAGGAGAGACTGTGTGTCATGAACACGTTCCTTTTCTACAATTGAAAACAGAGCAGCACTGAAGATTTACAAGAAGACATGGGTTTTCTTAAACTGTGTGGAGATGCTTGAGATTGAATCCAGGGACTCATACATGCAAAGGATGCACTCTACACTGAGCTACATCCCCTCTCTGTGACATGGTCTTTTTGTCAGCACATTTTGCAGCAGGTAAAATCACAGTTTACCTCAGTGTCTTTGAATGCATTGTGGTACTTGCAGACTGAAAGATGTCAGCAATCTTACAGGTTCACTACAATCCACACAGGACAACACTGATTGAACAAACCTGAATATCATTTCAAGCTGAATGAAAGGAAGACGATGACGCCTAAAATTTTCAGCTGCAAAGGGACATCCACATAGACAATGTCACATCCTTTGGATGGTATGCACAGACCTTATGAGCCAGTTGATTTATTTAGTTTTTAATTAAATAATTTCAATTTAAACAAGTTTTCTGTCACAGGCTGACAGATCATGTCATTGGACGAATGCTTTGTTGGCTCAGAAGCAATATCTCACAGTGACAAATTTTCGGCTGTAAAGAGAAGTAGTGTCACATCCTCTGGATGGTATGAACAGATCCCAAGACCCGAATGGAAAGCCCCTCAAACAAAGCCCACCACCACTGCCAAGGAAAATTTCCACCCATTGTTGGCAGGATTCAAACCTGCACTGGGAGACCTCAATGGATTTCGAGTCCATCGGCTCGACCACAACAGCTGCACACGGTGCGAGATATTCAGTGTTCTCCTGCACTCGGAAACGTGCACAGCTTCATCGAAAAGGGTGAGCAAGAAATGCTAACCATTTGACACAAAACAAAAAGCAGCTGTGATGGCCGAGAATCGAACCTGGGTCAACTGCTGGGAAGGCAGCTATGCTCACCTCTATACCACCATCACATGGAAAAAAAAAAGACGAATGCTTTGTTGGCCTTAGAAGCAAATAAACATTGGGCTGTAAATGGACATCTACATGGACAGTGTCACATCCTCTGGATGTTATGAACAGATCCCAAGACCCAATTGGAAAGCCCCTCAAACAAAGAACGCCACCACTGCCAATGAAAATTTCCACCCGTTGTTGGCAGGATTCAAACCTGCGCGGGAAGACCCCCATGGATTTCTAGTCCATCGCCTTGACCACTCGGCCACAACAACTGCATACAGTGGGAGATATTCAGTGGACTCCTGCATTGGGAAACGTGCACGGCTTCATCAAAGACGTGAGCAAGGAATGCTAACCATTTGACACAAAACAAAAAGCAGCTGCGATGGCTGGGAATCAAACCCGGGACAACTGCTTGGAAAGCAGCTATGTTCACCACTATACCACCTTCACAAGGAAAACAGGGAAATTTAGACAAATTTTCTGTCAAGGGCTAGCAGTTCATATCAGTGGATGAATGTTTTGCTGGCCTCAGAAGTATATAATAATATATAATAATATCTCAAGGTGACAAACTTTTGGCTGTAAAGGGACATCTATATAGACAGTGTCACATCCTCTGGATTGTATGAAGAGACTGGAAACCTACTCAAACAAAGCACACCACCACTGCCAATGAAAATTTCCATCCATTTTTGGCAGGATTCGAACCTGTGCGGGGAGACCCCAATACATTTCAAGTCCATCGCCTTGACCACTCGGCCACAACAAGTGCACATAATTTGAGATGTTCCACATCCTCCTGCACCTTCATTACATGAAGAGGTGCAAAATAAAATCAAACCATTTGACACTAAAAAGCAGCTGTGATGGCTGGGAATCGAACCCTGGTCAACTGCTTAAGCGCAGCATGCTCACCACTATACCACCACCACACTGGGGAACAGGGAAATTAGACCACTTTTTTTGTCGCTGGCCAGCAGTTCACATCAGTGGACAAACACTTTGTTAAGTTGAGAAGCGATATCACACACAGTGATAACTATTTGTCTTTAAAGGGATGCCCACATAGACAGTGTCACATCTTTTGGACAGTAGGAGATCAGCAACGAAAATCCCTCAAACAAAGCACAATACCTGCCAAACAAAAACATCCTTCTGTTGTTGGCAGGATTCAACCCCCAATGGATTTCTAGTCCATCACCTTGACCACTCGGCCACAACAACTTCAGACACTGTGAAACATTCAGTGTTCTCCTGCATTGGGAAACGTGCACAGCTTCATCAAAGAGGTGAGAAGGGAATGTTACCCATTTGACACAAAAAAAAAGCAACTGCGATGGCAAGGAATCAAACCTGGGTGAACTGCTTGGAAGGCAGCTATGCTCACCACCATCACATGGAAAAAGAACAGGAAGTTTGACATTGAAATTGTTATGTCACAGCTGAGCTGTACTGAGGTATGCCACACAGCGGTGGTTAGGTGGAACTGTTTTCAAATGATTTTCAACCTTTTCAGGAGGAAGATGTTTTTCCAACATAAAAATGACATTAAGATCATCAACAGAGAATAAAATGCAATCCCATTATTAGTGTCAAAAGTCCTCTGTGACCCACATGAAATAGGTCCTTTGCTCACAGACTCCCACACAAACTCTTGAAACCAGCGCAGCCACATCTCATCACCACAGTTACTTAATGTCTTTGATGGAGACTGTAACACTGATCCAGAATTGTGGAGCTGGACTGTAGGATTCCTGACCCACTGGGATCACCCAGCGGGGTGTTTCGGTGAAAAATATATTCGGGTAGAAATTTAACTCATGCACGCCTGGCTGCAAACTGCCAGACGTAGAGAGAGGAATGTGTTCAGATACAACGGGACGGATCTTAAGTGAATGGTTTTGGAGGAGGAGGAGAGAAAGAATGAAAAAGTCCTGGGGGGAGACAGGGAGGCGGGAGAGAGAGAGCAGCGGCGGGGGCTGTGGACCGTATCTTTATTTGGGAGACATTGTTTTGGTTTGAGCAGATGTGTGAGCCTGAAGCAAAGCCACATTCCCACATGGACAGACACTTCAGATGCTCTGGGAGGAGGAGTACAAGGAGGAGGGGTTACACATGTGTGTTTAAGCATGTACTCAATCGCACATAGATGTTGTGCATTCACAAACTGTTATTATTGTGCAGAGTGGAGCAGCCCAACAGAGTGTGTTTTGTTCCGTCTCCTCCAGTTTGTGTGCCTTTCTCATCTCAGTGTTTCTGCTGCAGCCACATGGATGACGTGACTGACAGACACTCTGCCCTGCATACACCACTGTGCTATCCAGTGTGCAGATCCTATCTGCAGAGGCCTGCTTATCTTCTTTGGATCTGACATGGCAACATGTCAATCTGCTGTCCTGCTCCACACTCGAGGACTCCGCTGGCTGAGCTCTTTCTCACAGTCCAGACCCGGCTCTGCTCAGCTGGTGAAGCAGATTCCTCCAGCACCGCAGGTCCTGGCTTTGTCCATGTGAATGAGTTCAGCATTAAACTCAGTGAACACTGTCCATCCTCCAAATATGTCAGCCTGGTTTAAACAGATGCAGCCTCAGTCTTCAACATGCATGCCAGTGGTTCACACTGTGTATATACTGTTGGGAAATGTAGTCTGTGGTTTGACTGATCTGGATTTTTACCACCTGATGTGGCTTTCCCCTCCAAAACCTCCCATATGCCCCCACACTCTTCTCAAAGACCCAAACCTGTAGTCAGTTATGAGTCACATGTTTTAAGGTATATATAACATTCAGAATATTCACTCTAGATTGATTCACACAGATGGGAGTGCACATTTTCTGCAGATGATGTAGCTCTGAAAGTTTCACTGACATGTGAACTCCTGGACCAGGTCGCAGCTGAGTGTGAAGCAGCTGGAATGAGACTCAGCACATTTGTGTGTGAATGTGATATATATCATTGGACAATGCAACAGTAACAACAGCAACAATGTCCCTGTTTTAATGATTTGTGGTATCTTGACCCATCAAGATCAACCCCTGCTGCGATTCAAAGACATCCAGCAAAAAAACTCCACTGGCCACGTGCACATGCTGGCGTATTCTCGGCAGACGGCTTTGTAATAGGGTTGTGAGTTCTTATCCATGATCAGATTGTAACTGTCAGCAGCCTGTGAAAATGCCAATGCAGTAGAATCAAGTCAGCTCAGGGTTTCCAACACGTTAGACACAATAGCCAGTATTAAACTGAAATGCCTTTAATATTACTAGACTCCACCCTGCCTGCATCTCCACACCCCAAGGTTATATAACCCAGCCTTTTGACCTCTGACCTCACTTCATCCAAATCTTTGCAGGAAATAAGACACTAGTGAGTGGACTAATCCTATTCCCTTTATTCATGGATTTGAATTGCAAATAAAATAATGTTGTTTTAATGTTATATTGATTTTTTTCCTGATACCTGAGTTTGACCTTAGAGCCTGTTAACCAGACTGTGGATGCTTTAGTTAAATTAGTTTAAGTTAAAGTAACGTCATTCAGTATTATTTGTTCAATGTTTCTTTATTATTACATTACATGTTCCTATGTTATCTTATTGGAATGGATTCTTGGATCCAGTGTTTTAATGAGCATACCACCTCAGATGCTCACTGATGCAGCACTGCCATCACCAAATGCAACATAGTTTTTTCACTACAGTACAATTAAGAATAATAATAACTTGAAAAGTCAAACATTGTCCATTTTGGAACATGAACAAATATTTCCACTGTTCACTTCATGATGGTCACAGTGAATAATACAAACGTTTCCACTGTGAAAAACCTTCACAGTTGTTCAACACTGGCTGGAAGAATTACAAACCCCAGTGGAGTCTTTAGTTGCTCAATAAACCTTTAAGTACATAAATCTGTTACTTAAACTAGTCTTCCTGAATCATATTGCATCATCTCACTGGACCACCTTCCAACGTTGGACCAGGAGTCATGTCAAGTATTTCAACGCTTATCAGGAGGCGTCACAGCTGCCTCTGTGGGGGGGTTTCAGGGACATCCACCTGGGAGGAGAATCCTGGGGGTGGGCCCAGGCAACAGCACATGATGACTGGAGCTACACCACCATAGTCTGGCCTGTGTGGGCGTGATGATTTGCTCAGATACAGTGTGCGAGTAAATACTCAGTGTTGAGTTTTACCTGAAAACTAAGGTTTACACAAAGAAGGCATTCACAACATTCCGGCCAAATTCCATTGGCATGATGGAAAAAACAAGAAAATTAGGCTCAAGTTGAAAATCACTGCAATTATTCTTTAACTGAGCTAATTTTTCCTCAAGCCATAATTCAAAATAGACTGGAGCAGACTGGGACCAGAGAGACTGGTGATTTAAATAGTTCCTTCTGCCACCAAGATTTGGTGGCAAATTAGCTCGATTATATTAATCATAGCAACTCAGAAAGTCCCTGCCACAGCAGACGCATCTTTTCCTTCCAGCCTCACCCTCCCCGACAGCAAATGCCTGAAAACTATGTCTATTCTGAGTGTCAAAACAAAGAGATTGTGGTGGATGAGGTGCTGCCACAGTGTGAGCTTCACACTCATTCAGATCATAGTTCACAAACCCACTCACTACATTCCATGATATAAGTTATGTAGGAGGGAGGAGTCAGTTTTGCAGTGGAGCTGGGGGTGGGGGGTTTGTGGGAAGTGCAGAGAACCACACTGAGACAGATGTGGTCAAAAACCTTCATGGCATTGAAACATCTGTCTGGAAACAGTGATGACAGCTGTGAATACCACGGAGCAACTGACATGTTATTTTCAAACAGGTTGAATGAATGAATGAATGAATGAATGAATGAATGTTTAACCCTCCAGTCAGTCTGGACAGGGACTTCCCATCATGCTCTGGGTAATGTGATGGCACCTTAGTTTTGTCCTTTGTGCTTCCCAGTTGGTTTCCAGGTAAGCAGTGGAACTAATGAGCCACACACTGATGTGATTCACTGTCACTGTTCCTCATGACACTCTGGACCTGCTGCATCATCACCATCACTATGACTGAGCTACTTCCACACAGCAGAGTTAACACTATACATAAAGGTTTTGTATGTTCTTTGTCTAATCAAGACCTCCTTCATGTGTCTGTCTGAGGACTTCACAAAATGGTCAGTCTCATTGAAAATCTGAAGGCTGTGGGGAGGGGCCAGCTTCTTCCCAGCTCCATAACTCCCACTAAACATGACTGAGATGTGGGCGTGTAGGAAGGTGAAGGTCTGAAGACCTGCCAACACCTGGCAAAGGAAAATGTATCAATAATAATTCAGAGTATCTGCTCTGGATCCAGTCAATATTGATGTAAACATCTTTCAGACGACAGACATCAATCACACCTGTCACATGTGCTGCGCTGTGCAAACTCAGCTGGCAGTTTAAAAGAGGAAACTGTTTCCACCTGCTAATGTTGGTGGGAAAATGGTGTATGGCAATTACAGTGTTAAGGGATACGTGTATAAAGTGAAAGAAAAGCTGTACAGATGGAGGACTGGATCAGTTCCATCGGCCTCTCAACAATATCTATGTAAAGTTTGCTAACATTAGCCACCAGATGCTACAGGTCATACCAGATCACGTTAAACTTGAATTTACTTTTCTTCCTCTCGTATCAACATTTTTGATTTTTGGCATTTTGAGTTCCTACCCTCACCTATGGTCATGAACTCTGGGTAATGACCGAAAGAGCGAGATCCCGGATACAAGCGGCTGAAATGAGTTTCCTCCGCAGGGTGGCAGGGCGCTCCCTTAGAGATAGGGTGAGAAGCTCTGTCACCCGGGAGGAGCTCGGAGTAGAGCCGCTGCTTCTCCACATTGAGAGGAGCCAGCTGAGGTGGCTCGGGCAACTGTTCCAGATGCCCCCTGGACGCCTCCGTTGGGA